GAACCTTCATTTGAAGTAAATTTAATTTCATTTAATTTGACATCATGATATTCAACTCCCACATGTCCATACATTTTATCAGGTATGATCCAGAAATGGATGGGCGGATTCTTTTGGCTAAGGTCGACTGCACTGAAGAAGGTGATCTGTGCAGGAGGTATGTTCTAGATTAATGTTTCATCACTTGTTAGTAGATTTCTGGTGGTAGTCCAACGTGGTCGGATTGCATCACTATTCTGATAGTGTAGCTAATAGATTTTGAAATTCATCAAGCACCTCTGGTCTGGTGCATGTGAGTAACACAATTGCTGGTAATGTGTTGAGATACTTCTTCCAACTCATTATTGATTACTTTCTTGAGGCATCATTGTAGTTTATTAATTATTTCCCCTTTTGCATTTATCCTTGCTGGTTAGTTCCCCTAGCATTCATTGTTTCTTAATTGTAAGTATTTTTTTCATGAATTTTTCAGGAATCACATACAAGGGTATCCATCCATTCGTATTTTCCGTAAAGGAAGTAATCTTCGGTAATATATTTTCATCTATACCATTCATATGCTGTTGACAGTTGGTTATGAGATTATCTTTCCTTTATGTTGTATACTTTCTTGGTGTGCTTTTACTTAAGTCAATTGCAATGCATATTTGCTCTTTAAATTTACCATTTGAGGTGAATCTATTTTTGTAAACTCCCTTATTATGTTATCTTCTGTTTAATCAGGATACTTTTTTTTTTCATTAAAAAAATGGATAAAAAATGCTGAAAGAAGGAAGACAGGGCTTCTTCATAGTATATGCAAGAAGCTTCTAAAATTAAGATCCAAATTAAAACCCATTAACATTGATAAAACCAAGGGCTTCTTCATAGTATATGCAAGAAGCTCCTAAAATTAAGATCCAAATTAAAACCCATTAACATTGATAAAACCAAGGAAAGAAATAAGAGTCGAAAACCAAAAGCTACACAAGACAAGAACAACAAATGACGACGACCTATGTCATTAATGACCATATACATATCTTGAGATGCTTTAATACAGTTGTAGGTATGAGCTTTGGCTTATATTCACTAAGAGATTGTTTAATTTGTTTGGTCTTCCTTCAGTTTCAACGTGAATGTAAGTTGGAAATAATATACCAGGTAGACTGCGCCTTGGCATGGCGTGTCTTACATTTGAATTAACTTTTTTATTTTTTCTGGGTTTTTGGGCACACCATTGGTACATGTCAGTTGAATGGCCTTGGTTAAGTTTTTGGTTTCCTGTTTTGAAGCCTTCCCTCAATTTCAAATTGTTAGGCAAAACCAATTCCTTGTAAAATGTAAACTTCCTCTTTGAATCAGTCAGGTTGAAATTTGACGATCAAGATTCTGCTTTTTCAAAATGCAACACCATGTAGAAACTAAAAATTGAAGCACATGCCATCTAAATATATAAAAATTATCATGAATAAACAAAGAGATGGACAATTAGAACAAAAATGGAGGGTTGAAGGAATATGCTCTTTTTCTGTAGTTTCAGATCTCCCTAACAATTTCAATGTTTATACCATTTTTAAATACCTAAGAAAAAGACTGCTGACAGAAACAGATGTCAACTTCATTTTTAACTGAATACAACAATTTTGTGTCCTATACTTTTTCTTTCTTTAATTTCTTTTGCGATCACATAGTTTCTTGTGTATTTGGCTTTTTATTACTGCTTTGTTGGCCAACTTAGTTATCTGGCATCTTCAACTGTCTCAGGGAAGACCATGGACGCCATGACCATGAATCTTATTATGGAGATCGAGATACAGAAAGCTTAGTTAAGGTATGAACACTTCTCTTTCCTATTTAACTTGTGCCATGGCTACATTATTCATGGATGCAAACTTGGGCTTATTCATGATAATTGATGCGGTCTTTGCCTACTTTTTGTTGTTCCTTTCAGACAATGGAAGCTTTGGTTGCACCTATTGCAATGGAATCTGAAAGGCAAGCTTTGGAGCATAAACCTGAAAATGCAACACAGCATGTTAAAAGACCAGCGCCTTCAGCAGGAGGATGCAGAATTGAAGGATATGTGCGTGTAAAGAAGGTAAACCTCCCGTGCCGCTTGGAAATCAATGGGATAGGCTCTATGGTTGCTTTAGATTTGTTGCATTGTAATTCATGATGGGAAAGATCAAAAGTAGTACAAAAAAGACAGAGCAATATGATCATTCAGCCATCGTCGTATTCTCAAGATATTGTGGTTGTTTTGTGGATCTGTAAATTGATCCTAATAGGATTCCGCATTACTTTTGGCTAGTTCTTGGGTTTTAATTTTGAGCTGTCCTGTACTCTGCAGGTTCCAGGAAACCTCATGATCTCAGCTCTTTCAGGAGCCCATTCCTTCGATTCTACGCAAATGAACCTGTCACATGTCATATCCCATTTCTCATTTGGTATGAAGGTTTTGCCCAGGGTAATGAGTGATGTGAAGCGCTTGTTACCTTACATTGGTCGAAGTCATGACAAGTTGAATGGACGATCATTTATTAATCACCGTGATGTAGGGGCTAATGTCACTGTAAGTTGTCACTTGCAAGTGGTCCTCTAAATTCATTGTTTTGTGGAATTCTGTACTGCTTACTGCATGTTTGGTCAACCGATCAGCATTTTTCAATGTGATGTAAGTTGATTTCCCAACAACACGGACAATTTTGCATGCATGGGAACAAGATGTGAATGGATATGATTCTAGACAACCTATGATCTTTGCAATTTAAGAATATCGTAACATTCAGTTACAATAATATGATAAATTGGTAATTGCAGATAGAGCATTATCTCCAAGTAGTTAAAACTGAGGTGGTTACAAGAAGATCTTCAAGTGAACGTAAATTAATCGAGGAGTATGAATATACAGCCCATAGCAGTTTGTCACAGACTGTTTACATGCCGACTGCTAAATTCCATTTTGAGCTCTCTCCTATGCAGGTTCAATAATAACTTCAAAAAAAAAAAAATCGATTCTTCCTCTTGTTTTATTATTATTGGACTGGAGGATTATTCATACTGTTTGTCTGATTTTGATCTTCCATCTGTTCCCGTTACATTTTATTTCTACTTCTGATATCAGGTTCTGATCACTGAAAATCCCAAGTCTTTTTCGCATTTTATCACCAATGTCTGTGCCATAATTGGAGGTGTCTTCACGGTTCGTATTTAAATTGTGCTGTTTTTGGTCTTTTATCTGCAGACTGAAGCAGATGCAGTTTCTGATAGCTTCTCACTTTGGATTTCAGGTGGCTGGGATATTGGATTCAATTTTGCACAACACAGTTAGAATGATGAAAAAAGTAGAACTTGGCAAGAATTTTTGATAGGAAGATGAAATATGACGTAAAAATTCTGTCCTGGACAAACTTCCATTTAGCAATTACAATTCTTACCTGGTAATGAGTTTTCATTAGCTACTCAAATTGCTAACACTAGAAATTTTGCATGGCCCTATGCAACTCCAACCTAGATTGTTTGACTGCCTGTTCATTCCTTTTTCTTGCCCCATTGAAACAACAGCGTTTCAATGCCACCCCCCCATTGCTTTTGCTATTTGCTGTTGCTTTAAACTTGGAAGTGCCCGATTTACCACCAGCGATGTTTGATGGGAGAAAAGAAGTGACAAATTTATTTATTTATTTCGTTCTATACAATAAACTTACATGAAGCAATAAGCACACCATAAATTGCCAGCTTATTTACCATTCAGGACAAACGAATATCCGAATACCAATACACCATCGAAACTCCCAGTTGAAATCACTGAGCTCGAAAGCAGGAAAATCATTGAGAAAGCCAGGGAAAAAAAATGGAAAGCAGCCAAGAAGAAAAGAAGGAAATCAAACAATTATTCGAGTAATTCTCCACCTAGATTGCTAAAACAAGTGATGAAGCAAAGAACGCTCCCATGGAACCAAAGAAACTCATGAACATGGAAGAAGCTGAGTTTGGTGGTGGGCCGGTAGGGGGTGGAGTTGGGTTGATCTCCACTGTTCCTGCTGGGGGAGACTCGTCGCTGCTAGGTGTAGGAGCTGGGACCATGTCAGAGGAACCTGGAGATGGAGGAGAAGCTGTAGCGTTCGTTGATCTGTCTGCTAAAACACGGACCTCCATCTTCTCATTCTTTTGACAGTGATCTCTGTTTCCACTGATGAAGTAGTAGTGAGCTCCATACTGATTGATTTTGAAGACAGTGTGGCCGTCGTTGAATGTTGCCAAAGGGTTCTCTGCAGTGCAATTCTCGTAGCCCTCCTTGGTTACTTGAACAACCGCGTCTTGGCTAGCATCATAATCAAACACTGCAATAACCGATAAGAAATCGATTCAGTCATCATCCAGGATGAATGATTGGGACAAAAGAAAAATCAACTTACCGAGGGAGTCTCCTTTTTGAAATCGGTTCCGTTCAGCCCAGGCGTTCAAGGAGCTGTTTGAGCTGGTGTTATCAGGCACGGTCCAACCTTTCTGATCCCCAACCTTGAATTCAGCTGCATTGTTCTTCTGTATCAAGAGCAAGAGACACAAGAACCCAAGAATATGGAAGACATTGTCTTTGCAAGTGGTGTAAGCCATTGAAAAATGATGAAAGAGATTTAGAACAAGTGATGTGTCTTTCACCCAGAATCTGAAATCCTAGTTTTAGATGTGACAAGGATGGTGTTATGGTCAGGGGTTTTTGTAGGCCAATTTGTACGAGCTTTACAAACTGTGGAAGTGAAGCTTTGGTTCTTTCTTTTTTGGCTTTTTCATATTCTCATTTCTTTTGGTTTCTTGGCCACCAATGCAAAGCATATGTTCAAGCATAAGAACTGGATTAATTGCTTGGCATTTGTTAGTATTTCAGGTAACTTGGCCTGTAGGTTAATGCTTTTCTTTGACCATGATCAAGAATATTCATGTCTTCTGCTTTGGGCTAGCTAAACCAATGACATCTGATACACTAATCACACAAGTCTGTTAACACTAGAAGAAGACACCTTCATCGAGTCCATTTTCAGCCATTAAGTTGCTTTCTTAAGCAGTTCTAACATGCCGATTACTTTCTTCGTCTTAAACACAAACGAGCCTTTGATGGCTTCATTTCACTTGGAGATTTAAATATCATGCAGTTTTTCTTTCAGCTGCTTTATAAATTTCTGTATGATTCCTTCGTTAAAAGGACATATAACCTAAATAATGCAAGGATATATTGTTTGGCATTAAAGAAACAGAAAATTAATTGCCTTCAACATAGGAGATGGCGTTATTATTAAGGTGTGTGTTTTTCAAATGATGAATAAAACTTCTGATGGATTTGAAGAATGCAATTGAACATATATGTCTTCTGATAAATCCAAATTTAACAGCTGCCCCGACCCCTAAAAAGAAAAAGCAGCCATGAAACACTCAAATAGGTTCTCGGCTCCACTTCCAAGCCCAACATCCTGCCAACAAGGTTGAGCCTAGGCAATACAAGGTTCAGCCTAGGCTCTTGCCTGGCCGTAAGGTGCAAGGCCATAGGCATGGTAGCCCATAACCATGATGGTTATGCTGCCTCGCATCTTAATGGATTCAAGTTGTCACGCCTGAGTCCATCATACTTGAATCTAAATAATATCATCATACTGAATCCAAATAATATGTTTGAATCTGTTTTTTATTTTTAATAGGTTTTAATAACTCACTCGAGTTTAATACTCCAATGAAAATTGTTTCATGATCCTATACTAATCTTTTAATATTTTATATTAATTTAATATAAATCCTATACAAATCTCTTAATATTTTATATTGATTTAATATATATTATTTTGAATAAAATATAACTCAAAATATCACAAGGATAAAATGATTCTTTAATCGTTTCACTTCATAAAAAAAAAAAAACAAGACTCATGAGTTATAAATACCCCATGAATTTTTCAAGCTTTAGGTTTACAATATTTTCATTCTCTATATTTGAAATTTACATATTTTCAAAGTTTATCTCTCTATAATATCATCATGATTTCTCTCTCTATAAAGATACTTACTTAAACATTTGAAAGTCCTCACATCTGCTAAAAGTAACCTTTTGTAAAATAAGTTATAAAACTGAAATAACCTTCTAGAAAGCAAACTAAAAAATGACCTGAGTTAACTTATGTTAATTTACTAAACCTGGAATTCGAGTAATGAAATTGAGATAATTCTATAAAAAGCAAATTGAGACAGATTATGAGGTTTAATTCTCAAGTAACTCAATATTAAATAATAAAATTAAAAAAAATAATTTAATAAAATGATTAAAACATAGTTTGACTAAAAAACAATTCAAACGACCAGTAAAAACATAGTTTGACTAAAAAAAAAAAACTCAAGACAACATCATATTTTTTAAAATAAAATGACAACATATTAAATTGATACAAGTTTAACCTATCAAATCTATAATGTGGGTAAGATAATATTTAGGCATCACTTGAAAAATATGTCATTCCTAAACTGTACTAAAGAATAAAGGATCTAAAATCAACCCCTGATGAATTGGTGAGAAACCATTCGACATCACCTAGAGAATATGTTAATCCGAGATTGCAATAGAGAATAAGGGATCTGTATCAACCCCTTGTAAATTGGTGATAAGCCCTTAGGCATCACCCGGAAAATATGTTAGTCTAAGACTGCATTACAGAATGAGAGATAATGAAGGATCCAAGATCATACTCTAACAAATTTATGAGAGGCCTTTTGACATCACCTGAAGAATGTGTTAGTCCAATACTATATTAGAGATATTTAAATAGGAAATGTATGTTAGAGATACACTATTTTTATTTAAAAAATAACTTTACATTCCTATTAAAGATTACTCAAAAGAGATAAGGCAAAATGACATTCATAAGAGTCCTTTAAGTGTTAACTTATGTTATTATGATACCTATGCACATAGCTGATACTCAAAATGTATTCCTCCTAGTTATCATGAGATGAATATTAGTTACCATAGTCATTATTCCATGCTAAACTCCTTGGGTTTTCTAGAGCCTAATAGACAACGGACTAAAAACAGTCTGCACATAAGCATACCTAGAAGAATACCTACAACCCTTATTAGATGAGGAGTTCTTTCTTATCCAAATGAGTATTGAACACTCGAATCTCTAAAGATTTTATTTATATAAAAATGATTTTAGACAACTATAATTGTCTAGCTAACTCAACTCAAGAAAGTATGTGTATAATATACACAATATCTTAGAGTTAGTCATCAAGGACAATGAATCAATGTGCAAAACCCTCCCCAAAACCTTCTAGGGATTAGCACAAGCTTAGTATACTAATTTTGAACTAACCTCTATTGAAGGGTTCAATGATGGGTTACTCAAGTTGACTTGGGTTATTTTTTATGTTTTTTTTTAATTAATTTTTTTTAATTTTATCTTTTAACATTAGGTAAAATGAGAATTGAGTTTCATAATTTATTTTGATTTTTTTTCTATCAGTTTATCATAATCTCATAATTCAGGTTATGGGCTTGAATGTTTAACCCAAGTTGACCTAAGATCATATTTTAGATTTTTTTAATTATTTTTTTTTCATTTAATATTGAATTGATTAGTAATTAAGTTTTATAATTTGTTTTATATGAAGTTATCATGATTTCATAATTGAGATTGTGGATTTGATTTGAGATTGTGGATTTGATATGTTAAATTTAGATCAATCCAATATGTTTTTGTTTTAATATTTATTAAAAAAATCATATTGAATTTCTTTTTGAATCAAACTTTTTTTTTCTTTTAATTTTTAGATTGTCTTTAAATTTATCAATTTAACTAGATCATGTCAGATTAATTTCCATATGATTAAAAAAATAATTTTAATTAGGAAAGAGTTAGCAACTTTGAATATATATATATATATATTTGATTCGATCCATGGTATGTAACGGGATAAAGATCAAGATACCCTCTTCATCTTGTAATTGCAATTGGATCATCCCAAAGAAGGACGTAAGTAGAATAGAAGGGTTGGTGAAGTATTAATGGCTTCCCATTATGATTCCAACGTATTGAATTTTCTTCAACTTCGAACATTATCAAAGCGGGGCGTTAACTTGGGTCCAGTAGTTGGTGCTTTGTCTTTCAACTTGAGCTGGCAAACCTATCCAAGCATTGATGGTATGTAATTCTATTTATATTTATTTTTAAAATAGATAAATACAAAAAAAAAAAAACAAGAGAGAGAAAATAAAAGAATATCTCTCAACCCATATAGAAATATTCTTATTATTATTTTTTATTTTCATGAATTTAATTTTCTTTTTCACAAAAAAAATGAATCCACCACGCTACTTTTAATAAATAAATAAATATGCTCTGACATTTTCTGAATTATTTTCTTTCTTTTTTAAAATTTATTTTCTCTGAGCCCATAGTGTCAATTTAAGATTAGGATTGAATGGATCCAACATTGGGCCCACACCCATTCAACTCTGGTACCAATCCAAATACCATGCTTCCTCGTCAGGTCAAAGTCAACCATTACTGGTTTTTACTTCCACCCCCCCTGGTTTTCCCTCTTGGGCCCACTTGTAAGTTATAACACTGGAGTGACCAAATCCCAGCCCATACTTCAATCAACATGGGCTCCACCACTCTTCCTAAACGCGAGGCGCGTTTTCTTCACTCTCCATAGGCTCGTGTGGGACAACTCCTAATTCTACAACCATGATCCATGGCAGCTTGGAGGGTTAACTTTGGTTAGAACGAATCTTTAGAAAAAAAAAGGAGTTATTTTGACTAAATTTTGTATTTTTTTTTAAATTAAAAAATTAAAAACTAGATTTAGATTAATTTTTATAAAAATCAACTTGAGTTTTTTAAATCAGTCAAATTAAACTAATCCAAGTTCTAAAACAAATAATGATTAGAAATTATTTTTTTATTTAGTTGGATTATATTAAAAAATAATTAAAAAAAATTCTTTTAAAAAAATTAAAATATAATCCGAATTGATTTAAACTTATTGGTTTTAATTTAGTGTTTAGGATAAAAACAAATTTAAAATAATTTGATCATGTTTTTTTAATTTAAATTTGATTCAATTTTGTTTTTTAAATTTTAGGTTTATAAATTAAAAAAAAATTAAACTAATTAATTTTATAAAATTTTAATTAATTTAATTAATTTTTTTTCACGGTTTCAGTTTTTTCTTCACCGTATTGACCACATCCAGTAGCGAGTGGAAATTGGATTGACGCGCTATTCCCACTCCTTTTATTTTCTTTGATCAACCAATCGAAACCAAGCAAACTTTAGCACCAAGACAAGGGCAAGAGAAGTGCAAGGGAATTAAGACAACCAATCAAAACCAAGTAAAAATTAAAAATTCTAGTCAACTGAAAAATAAATTACTAGATAATAAGTAATAGAATTTCTAATCTTTAAATCCTAAAATGTTCATATTAGATAATTGAGTAATACCAACTTTATAAAAAAATTAACAACAAATTAATTATTTGAAAACCACAATTATTGGATTTTTAGAATCCATTTATTCATTATTCAATGTATGAGATTTTCCAAAAAAAAAATATTTCAAGAAGAATTCTTTGGGTAAAATTAGTATTATTTTGGATAAATTTTAAACTTTAGACGGTTCCATTTTTATCATTAAGAAGTAATTTTGATCTGTTTTTAATAATTAGATAAATTGAAAATAGGGGAAATCTCTAAAAGGGTAAAAAAGACAGGAAAAAAATAGTAAAGGAAAATATGATTTTTGGTGATGTGAGTTGAGCAAAATAGGAAGAGCAGAAGCATGAAAATAACTAAGGGCTTCTATAGACATTGCTTAAAATTTATTTTTAAAATGATATATTAAAATAATTTTAAAATATTAAAATTATTAATTTAAAATAAAAACATATTAATTTTTTTAAAAAATACAGTTCAATCATATTCTTAAACACACTTTGAATACAAATAAGTATTTTTTTTTATTAAAGTTTGATTTTTTTAATGTTTTTGAGTTTTTTAAATATTCCAATATTAAAAATAAATTTTTAAAAATAAAAAAAATATTATTTTAATATATTAAAAAAAAAAACACAAAATCAATCTTACACCATACACCGAACACCCCTCATGCCAACATCATTAACAACTAACAACCATGCAAAACACAACCTCTAATTAATTATCATCATCACTCCTTAATTTATTATTAAAAACACAAAAAGGAAGCCAATAAAACGTTAAAAAAACAAAAACAAAAAATAAAAAACGAACGCTTTCTTTTGAATCTTCCCGTATTTTTTCCTGTTTTGAACTGGTCGTTGTAGTAGTTGTTGTTATTGGTAGGGAGCTGGGTTCCTCTCTTTGAACCCTTCATCTTCTTGTAAATCTCTCCATTTTAAGGGGGTCAAGCTCCTGGTTTCTGCTTCGTGAGTTCTTTTCTTTGGCTATTGTTAAATGTGGAGAGATCCTGGACAACCTGCTGATTCGTACTATCAGGTCCGGCCTGAATGCACCGATGTTCCAAAATCTAAATTCAAAATCAAGGTTTGTGTGAATTTTTTTATTTTTTTAGTTTTTTCGAATACCCATTTGTGTATTTTGATCAAGTTTTTTTTTTTTTTTGTTATTTCTGGCCTTTCTTTGTTTTTTTGATACCTGTTACTTCTGGCCTTTCTTTGTTTTTTTGATACCTCTGAAGTGCCCATTGATTCAGAGATTGAGTATGGAATTCTGTTGACTCACGTATCCGTTTCCCTCCTTTTCCTGCTAGGATTGGAAATCCTGTATTTTATTTTTCATATCCATACGATTGAACCCAATGTAAAAAGAAGTGCATCGAATCATTGCTATTTGACTCGGACCTGCTCTAAAAATGTCGAGGCATTTCGAGTTGTTTGTTTAGATCAAAATTTTGTAATTTTGGTCCTTTATGGCTTTGTTCTGATGTTTATGATGTGCCCATTTGGTTGATTTTGAATTAGGTTTGTAAATTTGGTTCTTTTCTATATTTTTGGGGTTTTAAGTAGATTAATTTGCTTCACTGTGGCTCTATCTTGATATTTCTTGTGCACATATCATTTTTTTAATTTGGATTTCTATGGTATTTGTTATGTTGACGTGGATCAATGTCATATATATGTGGTGTACCATATTGCAGTAACGTTTCTATTATCATTGGATATGATTAAGAGTTTGAGCAAAGATGTAATTCTTGTGTCAGATATGAAATGGTTGTGTGATTAATGTACTAAAAAGGGCTTAATTTTTCATTACAGTTTAAAGCTGGATTAAATAATTTATGGAATTGGGTTCTTTAGATATGTTTAATCAAATTTTGAAGTTTTAATGAAAAAGCAAACAATTTCAGAAGCGATCACCAGACTATGCAACTATAATGATCTTACGAGCTGGCTGTCAAACTGCTAATTTTAGCAATTTCCTGCATTCTAACAACAATTCTATGTGTCGACATAAAACAAAAAATAAACAAACAATAAGGTTGAACTGATCAGCTCCAACAGTTCTTATTAATTGGTGTTGCCAATAGAACATAAAACACATTGCTTGTCATGGAAGTAACTGAAGCTTCCTTTGGATCCACTTTTGCAGGCAGGTAAAACTTTAAGTTCAAGGAAATGGCAGGCTGCATTTACTCCAGAAGGATACCTGGATATAAGCAAGACCCTTAGTCGAATCTACCGTGGGGTAACTGTTCTTTTAAGAGATCTTATAATCAATCTGTGAGATTTAATGCTCATGATCGCTCTTTTCTCTACTTTTAGGGGATCCATCCATCAATTAGAGGAGAAGTTTGGGAGTTTCTACTTGGTTGTTATGATCCTAAGAGTACATTTGATGAACGAGATCAGATTCGACAGCGTAGAAGGTAGTCTGTTTTTACATGTGTAACTCATGGTCAAGAAACCATAGAAAAGGATAAGGTCATACTTATCTAGGTTGTTAGTCCAATCAACGTTACTGATAACAACATCATCTTATTAATTGCTTTCCTTTATCATGACAATGGGCATTACAATAATGTGACAAAACTTGACAATTCCAATAATTGGCATTCTTCACCATCAAAATGCTGAACTCTTTCTTTGGACTAAGAAAATTTAATAACCTATGGATCCTGTAGGTGAATATACTAAGCATAAGACTATGGTCTTTAGTCTTTTTAATCCGACTCTGGAGATCTCCTACACTAGATTATATTGGTGACTTCATCCTCTTGCATGTATATAAATACAATCTAGTCAAATCAGAAACTGCTGACCTTGATCTCCCCCATAGAAATGTAGGTAAACTATTTTGAAGCTAAATACTGTAATTGCCTTGTTTTTTGTGCATAAAAGTTTGAAGTTAGGCTTTGCCTTATTCCCCACTTTAGAAGACTAAGATTCGTTATTATGCTGTACCTTCAGGGTACAATATGTTAGGTGGAAAGAAGAGTGCCGCCAAATATTTCCTGTTGTCGGAAGTGGAAAATTTATTACAGCGCCTGTAATCACTGAAGATGGTCAGCCCATTCAAGAACCGTTAGTAATGTTAGAAACAAATCAAGACAGAGGCCCCTCTCAAGATGGTAATTCTGCTGAAATTGGCAGTTCACATGCCTATGCCACAAATCAATCAAGAACAAATGCTTCCTGTTCAGAGATGGTGAAAGAGCTTACAAGCCATGGCCCTTTGGACCAGAAAGTGATCCAGTGGATGCTTACCTTACATCAAATAGGTTGGTGATGTTTATATATAAATGCACATTTCTCTCTTCCTTGGTGCAAAGTTGGCTCCTGTTCTCCTGTCAATGCATACTGTCATGCATGTGCATGCTGTTAATTTGAACCTCAAGAACTCAATAGTCATAATTTAATTATTGTAATCAAGGATTTTTTGTGTTTTTTTTTTTATTGAATCTCTTTCTGATTGGACTAATATGGGTGCTAGGTCTTGATGTGCATCGCACTGACAGGACATTGGTGTTTTATGAGAAGCAGAAGAACTTGTCAAAACTTTGGGATATTTTAGCTGTTTATGCCTGGATCGATACAGATGTCGGCTATTGTCAAGGTAGATGAATAAATGATTGTCTTATTCGTGAAATTATTATATTGATATGTTAAATCATTGCCACTCAGCTTCTGAGGTGGTTGGTGTAGGACCTGAGCATGTACATTATTGTGCTTTGTGTTGACCTGATCTATATAACAGACACTTGTGAATTCAACAGAGTTTCAAAAACTAATACCTGGCATTTATAGAGAAGTGCTAATGCTTGAACTATAAGTGCTTGACATTGAGACCAGTGTGTAGATAGATAGAATAAAAGACCATTCGCCTTATTTATGATAAATTGTACAAGGGGATCTGTTGGCATTGTTGTTGGTTGCTCTGAAGTTGGTGAAAGTCCATCATTGAGAATAAGTAGCTGTTCTCTGCCTTTTCAAACTGTTGCTTTTGTGAGATAAATCACTGAGGTTGAGTAAAGTAGTTCCACTACCAGTTTTTTTGCTATTCCATGTTGACCATGTGCTGCTCAGTAATTCCAAGTACATACTAGATGGTCGCTTAGAAACTCTTAGTTCATTACACATTTCCTTTCCCCCCTCCTTTTCTGGGCTCTTCTTATTATGCATTTTTTCTGCTAATTTATAGTTATAAGTTCTTTGTAATGGAAGTTATGTACTCTTAGAAATCAAGCATCTTGCATTATCCCCATTCCCCTGTAACCTTGAGAGCCAGAGATACTCTATTCCTTCAATGATTAACCATTAATTCTAGCACTTAATTTCTAATAGAATAAGCAATGATAGTTACACAACTAATTTTTTTTTCTTTTCCATTTGAAATTCAATTGATCAGAAAATTAATATTGGTATGCATGTGCATGGTCATATCCTAAATATAACCCTGATATTACATATGAGATTTGAAAAGATCTGGATACTTGCTGGTTTCTAATAGAATGAGCTATCTAGAAGTAGCTCCATAAATATGGCCTTCTCTGAGTTGCTGAAGGTCATAATGATTATACCTTCCTTTATGATGCTTCTAGTTATGTCTAAATTGGTGTAATGAAGTGAAAATTCTAAAATCCCAAATGCATGAAATGCTGACAGGAATGAGTGATCTTTGCTCACCCATGATAATGCTTCTTGAAGATGAAGCGGATGCATTTTGGTGTTTTGAACGATTGATGCGCAGATTGGTACATTCTCTTTTTTTTTTCTTTGTTTCTCTCAATTTTGTGCACAAGACACTTTACTGTGTGATGTTGCTCTTGGATAAAGTATATAGCTATTGCTTAATATTCTTGTAGTACATTTTGATTGCAATGAAGTGAATGATAAGGTTAATTTTCTTTAGATTATTTGAATTTTCACTACTCTTGTATTAAATGGATCTTGTGATGGTTTCAATTTTCTTACCTTGATTGAAAAATTATTTACTTGTATCTTGTGAGTTAATTATCTTTTTAATGTCCTGATGGGGATTAATGATGTTGCTTATTTTCAAAAATTGGTTCCTTGCCTCTTTTGCGCTAATGACTGCTTTTCAGATGTTGTCAATTATTTAATATTTTTTTTCTATGGTTAATGCTTTTCGGGAGTTTTTCTATGATTAATGCTTTCTGGGAGTTTACATGGCTCTTAGCTTCATTATTTTATTTTTTCCTTTTGATTTCCACATTCTCATGAATTTTTGTTATTTGAAATTTTAAAGCGAGGAAATTTCAGATGCACTGGGAGAACTGTTGGGGTGGAGACACAACTTAGTAATTTGGCTGAAATTACTCAAGTCATTGATCCAAAACTTCATCAGCATTTAGGTATTTTCTTAAATTTATGCTTTCTCATTATGTGTTTTAAATCATTGTGTATGTTATGCAATATACTGATTGTTAATTCTTAAACGCAGTCAGTTTGAGTCACTCAACTATGCTAACTAGTTTATTATCTTTTCTTTTTCATTCTTTCTATTATACTTACTAAAAGAAGATATAGGTTAGTGAGAAAGGAAAAGAAAAGAATATTGTTTGCTTTGAAATTTTGAGCATAAGAAATGGACAAAATCCTTAATATCACTTTTTGTTGGCTTTTTGCACGGGGAAAAGAGACAACACCTGGATAATTCCTTAATCGACTTGTCTGCGATGGAAACATTTCTCTGTGCTTTTGCTCCTCTAAGATGGCTTGTTTGCAGGAGTGGACTTATGCATACCTTTAAATGGCCGTGGAACCCCCAAAGATATAAGGCTTAAATATCATAATTGATGCCTTTATCCCAACCAAAAAAGAAAAAAAACAATTACATCCAACTCTATCTTTAATATTTTAGTTAACATCCAATCATGCTGTTCATTTCATAAAAGGTTTGGTCCCCTTGAAGTTAAGTTCCTAGTTCTGCCCTGCATATTTGGGTATTGTCATATATTTTATGAAAATATTCTAGGTTTAAGAGAGAAATGATGATGCAATTCTGTAAGATGGTAGTTTTGGCCTCCAATTTGAAACTGCAGTATTTAGTATCTTATACTCTCTTACCAATGAGCTTGTAGCTCAATGTTACTCTTGCATGAGTGAGAGGGGTGAGGTCTGAGATTTGAGTTTCATCTCTGTCAAGATTTTTTAAAAAGTGGAACAAGCTCATTAAAAGAAATAAAATTTCTTATTAACCCCTTTAAATACCCTTTTTTTAATATATAGATGCTTCAGGAACAAGGTTATAGGAGAATAAATAGATGCTTCAGGAACAAGGTTATAGGAGTAAGCTTGATTATATGTGAGTGTTTGCCTTAGTGTAGTATCAGCCATGATATGGAAAACAACTTATGTCGTGACTTGCCTTTCAGATTGCGGTTTTCAGTTGTGACTCTTTAGTGATAATAACTGTGTTATCCTGCAATTAAAGTCTTTGAGTTTCTTTGTCTTGTGATAGTCCTGTACTCGTTTTCTCAACTTTCTTGATTTGTGCTGAAAAAAGAAAGTAAAGATGTGTTTTGATATTTAAACACAGATGCACTTGGTGGAGGTGACTATTTATTTGCTTTCCGCATGCTAATGGTTTTGTTCCGCCGAGAATTTTCATTTTGTGATTCACTCTACCTTTGGGAGGTATGGTTCAAGTTTGCTTATTATTTTAGTTTGGTTTATTGAAAATATGCATGTTTCGAGTATTATGTGGATTGCCTGTAATGAAGGCAAATATGAAATTCTAATTACTAAAATCCCTTATCTCTCCTCATTTTTTTCCTTTTAATTTAAAAAAAAATGGTAGAATTGTTTTTCTATGGAATTGGTCTTGTCAAAAGTCCAGAAAACTTGTTCTAAAACTGATAATGTGCATGCATAGTGCCCATTTCCTCACCCTATCCTGCAGTTCATCACCAAGCTGTGACTCATAGTTTCTGTAAGCAAGACAGTTAAGGACAAATCTTAGATCATTCAAAAAAATCTGCTGAGCCATCCCAATGGACTCAAGGCCTATTAATAGGCAAACCCAACCCAACCTCCTCCTCTTGATTCTAGATCTCCCATTCACACATGTGAGAACAATTGCTACTCAATTGCCAAAACCGAAAACCTTTCTCTTATGGGGCTAGACGTACATTTATTTTCTTGGGTGGGTAGAAAAGGATTCTGGATTAACTGTAATCAGATGAGTCTCCACTTTTCTGGATGTTTTCTGACAAGTCTTTGGTACCTAAATGTTGTCCTTTTCTTTTCTTTTATCTTGTTTTTTCTGTCATGTATGTGCATCTTTGAATAGAAAAAAATGCAAAGTTTCTGTCTCTTCATAAACTATGTGTCTTAGTTACTGATACTCACTTTTTTGTTTGCTGAACATAAAATCTGCACTTCTTACATGTGATTTCTTTTCATTATGCTCCACAGATGATGTGGGCCCTTGAATACGACCCTGATTTGTTCACTGTATATGAAGAGCTGGAACTGAATGGTGAGAAACGTGAGGGATCTAAGGGAAGAGCAAAGTCAATACGGCACTATGGGAAGTTTGAAAGGGAAAATATGAAAAATGGGGCAGCAAATTCTGAAGGCCCCCTTCCCATGTCTGTTTTTCTTGTTGCGAGTGTATTGAAAGATAAGAGCTCTAAGCTTTTGCACGAAGCTCGGGGCCTGGATGATGTTGTCAAGGTAAGCTTGATAATTTGAATTGTGCTTATGCTTTAGACACCTGTAAAATGCCATATAGTTTAGAAAGGACAATGTACCACCAAACAGAAGCATGTAGGAGAAATTAAATAAGAGTGGAAGCGTGGATTAGTGAAGACTACCCACAAACCCCATTTGTGTGCGTGCAGGGGATGACTGGTGAGTTGCTGCAGCTTGAGCATCACCCTTTCTGTGTTGTGTCCCGAGAAAGATTCAAACTTAAATTCTAAGCAGCCTCCATTTCCCTCTCTAGTTCCCATAGTTGTGCGTTGCTTGTTGAGGAGCAGTCTCAAACCCCACTCATGACATTGTTATTTGGAGTCTGAAACTGAAAACATGGCCAGAGTTTGTCTGGTGGCGTGTAACAGTTGAATATGCCTTACACCAATCATGTGCTATGCTTGTAGGTTCTAACATTTGCTTATGCCTGCATCTATTGTAGAACGGTAGCGAGAAAGATGACATAAAACTTGTGAAATGTTTGGTTGGTGAATAGTTAATGCATACTACCTAGATAATATTCCTAGAGCTCCCTATTCCTTCTGTGCTGTGAATCTCTGTGTATATGAATATGATTTTTTCTTGTTTATTTTCTTACTCATTTTCTTCTTTTGCAATGCTTTTCAGATATTGAATGACATGACTGGAAATTTAGATGCCAAAAAAGCATGCAGCGGTGCAATGAAACTTCACAGGAAGTATTTAAAAAAGGTGCTTTTCTTGCCTTGGATAAATCCTGATGATGCATTTGAAATGTTCAATTAGTTGAAAAGAATTAAAGAAAGCGGGCAGTTAAAAATAAATTGGAGCCAAAACTTTGTTTGAAGCATTTGTTGTTTTTAGTTCCCCTTAGCATTTTGTTTCTAAATCAAATTATTAAAAGGGCTGGGAGAAATACTGTTTCCATTATACTTGTGTTTACAGTTTTCTCTTCCTGAAGGAAATTGAGAAATTTTTTTTGAAACCTAGCTACATCCAAAGGGGTTATAACAGCACATGTTCTTAATTCCATTTGCTTGTTTATGAGTCCTTGTTGTCAAAAGTTATTCCTGGGGATCCTCTCAGCTGCTTGTTTACTGTGTGGTTATTCCTTTTAACTTACTGTTCATTAATTCCTTCTGCAGGCGAAGAAGGCATAGCCTACAATGAAACACATGATTTTTTCCCCCAGTCGACAAGTATTGGGAAGCTTTCGTTTTGTATTTTAATTTTTCAAGTGATGACAGTATACTTGCACATAAATTTTTTGCTTGGAGATCACAAAACTGTAAAGATTGCTCCAACCTGCAAAATGGTCATACAGAAAGCAAATTGTTGTTTGTAAACCATCCCCTTCCTCAAGAAAATCTATGTATAAACAGAACCATGCATGTATCCATCCATGATGTGTAATATAGGTTCTAATTTAATCATCAATGAAATACAAAGAAAATCATCTGCGTGCATAGGATTCGAGCTAAAGTTCTCTATAATTTTTTTCCTTTTGCTTTTCCATCTATCTTCAATATTCTATATATATGACAAAAGCATCTACCAATGAGTTATTTGGTTTTGACATGGGGACTAGCCATGTTTACAAGATACAGAAGAGCTAATTAACTTTAACATGCGACAAGATAGTCATTAATATGCACAGCTATTCTTGCACAAATTAAATAGTCATTAACTTTTTCTTGCAGATTTATTCTTTCCCAGGAATTTATATGTAAAAGTCAATATCCATGTTTAATATAGATTCAATGGCCATTAAACAAAAAGATAATATAGGAGAGAGAAAAGATAAAAAGAAAAAAAGAAAGAAAGGAAATGTTGGAAACACGTGAGAGCTTGATGATAACATCTTAGTAAAATTTGTTTTGAAGAAACAAATTTATAGACATTATGTAAAGCAAACTTTGGAAATATAAATTCTACCATGAATTTATTTATGAATTTCATGGTGTTTATAAATTTATTTTATTAAGATCTTTATGATATTAGAGATCTCTTCATTAGAACTCCAGTTTATCTTTAACGTTCCATTCATTCATTCATTTTCTTTTTTCTTTTTGTCTTTTCATGCCATATCATCTTCTTTTTTATTTTCTTAATTTTTTTTTTGTCTTTTCATGCCATATCATCTTCTTTTTTTTCTAGTCATTAAATCATTTTTTTTTCTTTACTGATAATTAAATTCTTATAAAATATGAATATTGACTTTGTATATATAAATTCTTGGAAAAAGCATGGATATGCAAGAAGAAAAACGAAATTATGAAATTTGCTAGTTGTGCAGTAACACCCGCACATATTGCTTTTTATGCTAATTTAAAAATTATTTTTTAGTTGCGCTAGTTTGAAAAATATTTTTTTATAGTCTAGGAAAAAACTTAAATTTTTTTTATGCCAAACAAAATTAAATAAAAACTATTTTTTTTTACTTCAACCCATGAAAAGTTTAAATCATAAGCTTTAATTGAATACTGTATATTTTTTTTAACACCTAGAAAATAAAGAAGTTTTCTACTTATCAACTCTTATCAAAGGTTCCTTTAATTATTTAAAAATTGATGATAGTACAAAAGCTAAATTATATGACATTTACACCCTTGTTATATATTTCAATTAAACCCTTTACTAATAAAAGATTGTAATATTTGTTTAAAAAATCAATATCGATTAAGAATTATGAAAGTATTGTAATTTAAATCCAACTTCATGGGACTTAATTTCTCTTCTAAAAGAGTGATACAACAATAGTCTTCCATCATTCTTCCCTTCTTACATCCTTTCTTTCCAACAAGTTGAACTTCAGAATTCATGTGTTGCTGACCAATAAAAAGGTGGTTACATTATTTCAGAACAGTTAATGTCAGAAGCTCAGTGCTTCATAAATCAGTTGCTTGTAAGAATTCATTGTAAAAGTATCGACTGCGCTGAAATATTTCTTCGTTTAAGAAACATTATTTGTCGAGATTCATAAAGCTAAGACAAAACTTGCTGGCATGCATGAGGAACCAAAATCTTATTTCAGGATAGAATTGCAAAATTAATTAACTATATATTTACTATGGTTTAATTTGGTGCTAAAGTGAAGAATCCTAGATCAGATGAACTGGAAGTTGTTCTATATTCCATCAAAACCTCATCGGACATACTACTTGAACGAACAGACAGCTAAGTAATCAGCATACATTTGGAAAATTCATCACTGTTTTGCAAATTATTAACTACTGTTGGTTAGAGTTTTTTGTAATACGTATTGAGACTTTTCAGTTTTGAACTTTGTTACAATCCCTCCCATCTTCCCTTGACAATCAACTTTAGCAGATGCAGGCCCTGAACTCATTGTTCATATCTAGCCCACTGAAATGCGCATGCATTTCTTCCGGCTCCGCTGCTGAGGCATGGAAGTCTTGTCCTGAGAAAGAAAATCGCTACTGTCTAGTCCAAGTCTTTATGAAGTGCTACAAAGCTTTCGTTGAAATTAATAATAGCAAAATAAATACTCACCCAAGATAATTCCAAACCAGAAAAACCAGAATATTAACCTCGAACGACGATCAATGGAGGTGATCTGACATCAGAATGAAAGTCACTATTGCCATGATTATGACTATGAGGAACTTAAAATGGGATTTTTGCTGTGCACTCGACCGGGGAATTTGCGGAGGCAGTGCACACTCTTCTCCGTTGAAAAGTATTCTTGTAGGAAACCCATCACCCCGTGGTATATTGATGCCTGGAGTACGTTTTTTGATGAATGATATCTTAGTTTGTTGCTTTCCAGGAACCCTCGGGTCTCCTGGTTTGGTGCCATTTACCTCTCCCATCAAGAAATTCAAACCTGGTAGGCCTTGGAGTAATATAGTATTGTTGAGGTTGTCAAACTTTGTTCCATTTAAGGAATACACACCTTCAAGTCCCTTGTAGGCTTTGTCTAATTTGATTGCAGCAAACCAATCCTCGAAAGGAGAATCATCCCAGTTGAAAAGAGTGACACTAGCAGTCCATCCAGTCTTGTAATCAGAGTCAATATGCCAATTGATGCTAACTGGACAGTTATCAGGACAAGGTCTAGGATTTGGAACTTTGAATTTATTTAGTGCAGCCCATGCTAATGCCTTTTCTGTCCTGTTATCAAAAGGCACGAGAAGACTCTCTGGCGGGAGAAGCATTGCTTTTGCATTCTGGCTGCAACCTTTATTGTTATCACAGCCACAGGCACAAGTATTGCAGGGAATGGCAGATCTATTGTAATAAGCAGAGAAAGAAACACAGCATCGCGAAAGCTTCTCCTTCGGACGTGTTATGTTGCAAGTTACTTGCCAACTTGCAACAGCGTAGGTTTTAGAATCAAGTCCACTCGGATCAGGAAATTCTGTTGGATCTACTCTGATTGGAGGGCCACATTTGTATTGAGGATTGACTACTCCATCAATCTTCCATTTCTCGGGTGGTACAAGGGCAGTCCTGTTCAAGAAAGGAGGCATCTTGTAGACTTGCAATTGGAATATGGACCTTGCCTTGCTCTCATCCATTATAGATGGCAAAAGGGTACCATTTCTACAACAGTATGGCAACTTCCCAACTTGTGAATCATTTTTTCTTTCCGGAGGAAGATCTGCGATGACTGGCTTTTTTTCACAGTTCATAACAGTGGAGAAGTCGAAATCTTTGTAATATTTTCCTGCAGTACCATAAATACACTCGGAAAAGTCCCTTTTGTGAGTGTAGGCTCCTCTCATTGTGGAAATGAACTCTCCATTCATCCATTCCCAGGTTAAGTTCCAGTGATCAAGCCGGCCTAATGGATGGATGTTATCCATAGTAACTTGGGCCTGGTAGTTGTTACCGTAGGCTTGAAGCACATCATAAGTGAGAGAAAGATCCCCATATCTACGAGGCAAGAACTTGAGCTTTTTCTTTTCTTCCTTCGCTTTGGGATCCTTCTTACAACAAACACGCATATAGCTTTTTCCTACAAGGAACAAAAATGAATATTGAATTTATGGAAACTTCTGTTGCAATTTGTGGCATGATATCAATGACGGGTTTCTTTTTTTTTAATAGAAAATGTAATAGAAAAGACGAAAGAGTTGTAGACAGCTGAAAATTGTAACGATGTTGATTGAAACTTATCATTAACATTTACATGGAAAAACATATAAATTTTTTCTGAGACATTGTTGCTTCAGTGTGATCGTTGGCATGCAGCAAAATGAGGGCAAAATGCTCAAGTCCCTGCCTTTGGGGCTGGTCGGGAACATTTCACAGATTCCAGCAAGAAAACTACCTTGCTAGAGATAATTTTGAAATCTACATCTTTTTATTTATTCTAGGTCATGTAGGTTATTTTTTGCATAAGAGATGGTGCGGTACAGTAAGAATCACCCGATGTAGAATTGGAGAGAGAGGTCTCCTTATAAAAAAAAGAAAAATAGACGTGGCTAAACAACTATGAAGAAGAATGTGGCAATAACCACCAAACAAGAAAATTGGCTTAAATGAGTCATGTTTAAGCAAATACAATTACTAACAAAGGGAAGATTGAAGAGATGACAATGATATGATATTATCTAGCCATGATGAAAGAAATGACCAAGACAAAGATGCAAGAAATATATTCTCAAGATGAAGATGGAAGATATAGAAAGAGTAACAACAATGTGACTCTCCTAAAAAAATGAAAGAAAAAAGAAGAAATTGAAGTTATCAAAAATAAGAGATTGACAAAGTGATCCTTTAACACATTGCAGGATGATTCTTCAACATATTTCCAAAACTAAAGGATTGCAAGATTTTCAAAATTAAAGGAGAGTATTAGAGTTAATTTGAAGTTTAAATTCAAAAATGTTCTTAGATACATGTATATAATGTAGTTATTCTTTAACTCTCTTGAATTATCCCTGCATTAGTATAAATATGTGTTAAAAGAGTAGTGTGATCGATCCAAGTCAAAGTCCATTGACTTTCTCTTTTAGCAGAATAATATGACATGAAATGAAAGAGATATGTTTCCAACTTTCTTCCCTAGTTACTTCTGACAAATCTCTCTGGGAAAGAAATCCATTTGCAATGCTTAGTTTGAAGGAAATGTTTATTTTTGCTTCTATGTACGTGACATAAATGTTGGAAAAGAGAAAACTTATGACCATCAAAACATGAGGATTGTTACCTCGCAAAGTCGGTTTAGGGCATTTGTATCCATCATTAACAAGCTTGATATTCTTTGGCATAGGTATTCCTGGTGGTTTAATCCCAAACACCGAGCCTGTAATCTCAATCTGTGCTGAAATCTGGGTGAAATCTCCAGCTGTTTCAATTGCAGTCTTGAGGTCAACTTGTGGATTTCCTGCGAAGATTGTCCCATTGCCAACTGCCACAGGGAAGTCATCGCCATCAACAACGATTGCCCCAGAAGCAGACACTAAAATTTCTTTGTGCTGAAAACCTACAAACATCTGCCAACCCTTCAGTTCATGTTCGCCTGTGTTGGTTATCGTTGCCAAAGATTTGAACGCCCATGCCTGCGCGGATGCATTCTTTACCTTCGGATATTCTTTTTCACGAGATGTGAAAGAATATGTAAGATAGATGCCGTTACATTCATCCAGTCCAGGTGGTGGGGCTGCAGGGTTCTCATAGTCATCGGTTTGGCCATGGCAAACATTTAAAATGATAGATGGTAATGAAAGGAGCATTACGGTAACCAGATGCCATGGAACCCCCACCCGTAATCTTGCTTTCATTTCCTAATTTCTTGCAGAGCAAGAAATATTTTTTCTTTTCAACAAGAGAAGAAGAAAAAACCTGTGCGGTTGCGGCTGAGCTGATGATGATTTTGCCGCGTTCAATTCAGAACGCGGCTATGAGTGAGAAATGGGGACACTGAGAAGGGAAACCCAAGTTAGAGTGAGATTAGAAGCTTATAAATTGGGCGACAGAAGGACAAGACTGAGTCTTATATCAATTCTCTTCCTCTAGTTTCCACGAACCATTCGGAGGTGGAGGAGGATGTCAGCAGTTCTTAATTAGATGAAGACAGAAAGTAATTAATTTGTACTAATATATTTTTGGTTTGCTTCTCAGTTATTACTATTTTTAGAGGGTAATAACTGAATCTAACTCTGTAATACATATATTTCTTTTTCTTTAAAAAAATAAGAATTTCATTGTCAACATGATTTAAAGGTGACCAAGAACTAACCTGAACCAGCTCCTAAAGAAAGAAGGATCCTGTTGTCATTCCGACCAGGTGATTTTGGTGTTTCTGTTGTTCGTGTTTTCATGGTCAAGAAGGCTCGTGTAGTTGGCTATAGCTTCTTTTTTTTTCTTTAATGTGGGAATTGGTTTATAAAACCATGTTGGATTCACTGAGGTCTTAATTTTATTTTATTTTTTTGGTTTTCTGTTGTTTCTTTTTGGATTTGATTTGATTTTTATTTTCTAAATTTTTTTACATGATTATTTGCTTAATGGAACGGGAACTTCAATAATACATCAACTTTTATTAAAAAATATTATGTTGGATTTTGTGATCTAACATGTATATTTTAATATGAAATATTAATATATTTTTAAAAATTAATTAAATATAAATAATATATTATTTTTAAATAACTTTTAAATAATAGATGTTTCAAATCCAAAATATCTTTGTGAATATATTATATTTAAAAATGTTTCAAATCCAAAATATCTTTGTGAATTGAATAGTGGGTTTGTGAACTCATAAGTTTGGATGATAAAAAAATATTTAATATTAAATCTTATTTAATTAATAATTTTTATTAGTTCCTAAAATATCGTAGCACATGAACCAATATATTAATTATATAATGAAAATTAATATTATTATGATTAATTCATGAATTATAAGTATTAATCTTTTGGTTTCTAATTCCTATAAATATGTATCCCTGAATGGGTGGAAATATATCCAAGAATTTTTCTTAAATTATTTTTTTTTCTAAAAACTTATTGTTATTTTTATATTCTAGAATCGGTTTGATCTTTGTAGAAAGATATTGGTTATTATTTCTTTAAGTTCATTGAATCTTATTTAAAAATGAACCTAAATAGTGAAAAATTGTTAAAATTTTGAAAGATTTATTGAAAAAAATCTGTTTACACCAAGTGAGAATTAATAAATCTTTAAAGACAGAAAGTTAATCCTTGAAAACAACAATAAAATGTTATATTAGATATCTTCTAAGAATTTTAACCAATAAATACTCAAACTAATTTTGTTTAAGTATAATTTTAACACTTATCTAGTTTGCAAGTTATTATTGTTTTCCTATGTTTCTTAATTATAAGTTTATATATTTGCTTAATATATATGTTAGATTTTTATAATAATTACCATATTTTTATATATTTACATGATTATAAACTAAACATATATCTCACACTTCGAATTTTACTTGTGGATTTTGAACAACAATCTTAAGGCTATGTATGCTGCATGCATGTTTTTTGTTTAGTTTATATATATATATATATATATAGATACGAAACTTGAGCTTGGCTAGTAGTGTTTGTGTGGAGTTTTATTTGCCAAGTTGTGATTAGCTTAACCCTCTTTTTCTCTAGATAGACAACTGATTAAAGTATAACTGTTAGTGAGTTTATAGCTACGAAGTTTACGTTGACAATTTAAGTTGTTAGCAAAATGTTATATTGGATATCTTCTAAGAATTTTAACAAATAAATACTCAAACTAATTTTGTTTAAGGATAATTTTAACACTTATTTAGTTTGCAAGTTAGTATTGTTTTCCTATGTTTCTTGATTATAAGTTTATATATTTGCTTAATATATAAATTAGATTTTTATAATACTTACCATATTTTTATATATTTACATGATTATAAACTAAACATTTACTCACACTTGTCTAATTTTACTTGTGGATTTTGAACAACAATCTTAAGGCTATATATGCTGCATGCATGTTTTTTGTTTAGTTTATATATATATATATATATATAGATACGAAACTTGAGCTTGGCTAGTAGTGTTTGTGTGGAGGTTTATTTGCTAAGTTGTGATTAGCATAACCCTCTTTTTCTCTAGATAGATAAATGATTAAAGTATAAATGTTAGTGAGTTTATTATAGCTATGAAGTTTACGTTGACAATTTAAGTTGTTAGTTGAGCTAAATGATAAGTTTTGCCCCTTAGAGAGGCTACCTTCCCCTTGAGTGGATACAAGCATGCCTGGTTTTCTTTCCTGATGAGAATGCTTGTGCAACTTTTAGATCATATTAACACTAATTGACAGCGAAGTCCTGGGCCATTGAAGTTGTGAACTATTCAAATAGGAATTTCAAGAAAACAGCTCATTACAGTGTGAGTATTCTTTATTTTTCTCCATTGAATTATCAGGATTACTATCGAGACCCTGAGATTCTCAGGCATGAATCCTCGTAAAGTTATGGCACTCTGCTCAGAATTGCAAATCACTCCTTATAGAGGCAGCGTGGATGATAATTTCAAAAGGCTGTTGAAGGAGATGCTGGAGGTAAATTCTTAGGAGCAAACCAGAACTACTAACACCAGATGGTCCAAGTGTAGATTGGTTAATCCACCGTTAACTTGTATATTGTGGGAAGGTTAAAACTTATGCAGATGATGTCTTAAACAGCTGAGCTCCATTTTTTTAATCTTGATTGATTGCAAGATGTTTGAGTAAATTGAATTTTTTTGCTACATTTGGCTATCATAGTTTAGTTTCCTTCAATTGTTCCATCGTATACCCACTCAGAACTGGACAGGAAGAAATGATATTCATGTGATTACCCCTTATTTGTTTGGGATTGAGTTGGTCACTTGGTTGAGTTGGAAGAGACAAAAAAAGGCCAACATAGAACTGAAGAAACTGAAGAAAATAGTACAGCAGACAGCAGAAATGCTATCGATTAAAGAGGTTGGTGTTGCAGCTGCATCCCAAATTATAAACTTCAGAAAGCAGGGAATGAAATAACACGACAGGCTGCGTCAATTATATAGAAGTAAATCCTTGAAGGGAATGCATGCTTTTCCTTGATTACAGCCCTTCAGTAAAAGAAACTCCAGTGGATCCAAGCCACGCTCCTCCTTGTATCAGCTCTGCCACAGTGAATTGCTTGGCCTCATTTGGATCTGTAATGACATGATATCCAGGCCAATTCACTCTCATGCTAACACCTGCACCTAGCCCTCTATTTGCGTACTCGCCATAATACAATGTTGTTAATGCAAATTCCTTATCCCATTCTGCCCAGCCAGTTGGATCAATATGTCCACCAATTTTAGATTGCATAACGACAGTCCTTGAGTACTGTTTCCATGGCCTTCCAAGATATGTAGGGAATTTATTCTGATCAGATTCAAGATCAGAGCTTGCAACAATGTCACAGTTCTGGATTGAAATCCCAGTATTTTGATTTGGGTCTATCCTTCCTTGTGCTGTGACCATGTTCTTCTGGTTTGCCATAGGCTTCCTTGAGATAATTTGGCAGTTCTGGAGTACAACAGCTCCATTACCGAAGATGAAATCAATGGTTCCAATTATGGAGCAATCTCTGTAGAACTGTCTGTAGTTATGTGTATAGAGGGTGTCTTGGTATGCATCGATGCGGCAACGGTTGATGACAGATTGATCAGCACTGACTCGGAGAGCCACAGCTTGGTGCTTCTCTGGTCCTGCTGTGTTTTGGATCCAGATGTCCTGCAATATGAATCCATCACCTGCAACAGCTGAAACGTGGAAAAAAAAATTCAAATAATGTCTAGCTTATACCAAAAAAATAAAAAGAAGAAGAAGAAGAAGAAATTGCAGCGATTATCAACATTTTCTCAGCTGAAAGCATAAAGAGAAGTAGCTTCTACCTGGATCATGTGCAGTATAGTTGCTAAATTAAAGAAATGTTTTTGGAATCTTGGTGATTCTTAATGCTTAACTATAGTGGTTCTTAATCAAAAGCTTAAAAAACCAAAAGAGAAGCAAAAGACTATAGTCAGAAAGTAGAGAATTGTTACCAAGAGTGGCAGATCTGAAGGTTGTAGATCCATCCACAACATTGAGGTTACCAGTTAAGATGGTGAAATCCATACCATCACCAACAATCATAACATTTTTCTTCTTCTTCCCAACTTCAACATTCTCTTTATAAATCCCACTCTTTACATGTATCACATACCGGCTTTTACTTTTATCTGGGACTGAGTTCACAGCTTCTTGAATAGTGGTGTAGTCCCCACTCCCATCTTGTGCTACTATCACATTGGCCTCAACATTGCTTACTGAACTTTCCAATAGTTTGCGGTCCCTTCCCAAGATCCATGATGGAAAACCCCCATTTAATGGCTGAACGAGATCAGTATCAGAGGCTGAAAGACTAGAAACAGTAGCCAGAGAGGTTCTCATCCTTGAGATCAAATCTTGGAGTAATTTTTTCATTGATGGTTGGTCTATTGTGTCAACGCCATCCAAGCATGTAACATGGTTAGTGAGTACACCACTTAGCCAAGTATTTGCATCACTAGCATCAGACTGGCTGCCCCAGTTGCCCAGAGCTGATAATGTATCAGTAACACGGTCAATGGACATATCCATAAGCTCCACACAATCAGCTAGAGCTGCTTGATGTTTATGGTCATTGATCTTGCTATTTACAGCATTGGCAGCTGCCTTTGCCATTCTCATTTGCGAGAGAGATTTTACCAAGAAAGTTTTTAGGAGGCCAACGCCATTAGATTCTTG